TGATGTTTCTTTTGTTTTTATTTTTTATTCTCTTTAATGGTTTGATAAATCTTGCATTCTTACATCCTGAGCCACTTTCTTAAGATAACAATGTGTAATATAACAACCACTGTTAATTCTGATCACTTAGTTCTGAAACCCTGTTTTATTGTTTTTGCTTTGTTTTGTTTTTGTCTATGTTGTTGGTATTTTGCTATTGTTCTTTTTTTATTATTCTCTTTAAAATAAAAAAGGAAAGAATACCCAATACTGAGACTTTCAAAACCAGAGCTATTTAAACTGGGCCTCACTTCTAGCCATAGAAGTAGGTCTGCGTCCTTCTTGGTTGAGATATAACCCCTAAAAGGATATCTTTTCTGACCCCTCCCCTCTGCTGTTTCTTGTGGCTGTCTTTCATGCAATCACTGTGGGAGGTATCGAAAACCGGGTTAAATAACCCTAAGTTATTGCAGGCTCATCAGGCCTGCAATCTCCCAAGCGAGTGGACGGTGGAGGCTTAAAATAAATGAGACAATGGAAATGATTTCAGGGCTCCAGGAGGGACTAACTCTCTTACAGCTTCAATATTCACTGAGTTTAGCCAAAGACTTCTCTTGGTGGCCCATATTTATTTGGTTTACAAACAAGGAAAGGTAAATACTGAAGAAAATGCAGGAATCTGAGCAGGACTTTGGGAATTCCTTTAAGGACTTCTCCAGGTAATATAGTATGTTAATTTCGGAGAACTATGTTATCTGTAGGAAGGCCTTCACAGCAGGAGTGAGATGCCTGCAGCTACAGTCTGCTTTAAGTTAATTGGGGTTGGAGCCAGACATCCTCAGCTGCAGCCTTATCTTGTCTTTAGAGGCTCGCTAGCCTCACTGCTTCACAAGCCAGTACAGGCCTCAGCGGTGACCAGTGACTCATAGAGGTTCATTTACTATAAATCAGCTGTCCATCTGCAGACAAGGTGCCTAAGCTTCGGAGAACTCACAAGTAAACATGGAAAGCCAATTGGTTAATATTAAATCATGCTCAGAGTCACTTTGTAGTGGTCTCCAATAAGAGGGTCACACTGGGAAAGTTAGTGAACTTTCCTGAAGTGAAAGTGTCTTGTGGTTCTTCTGTGTTCCCAGGTTCACTCAACCCTTTCCTAGAATAATGCCCAAACCCACCATCTCTTCAGTAATATAGTGGTCACCTGCACTGGGATTTCTCACTAACTGTTGCCTGTCAAAGGACTCCATAGGAGTAGAATTTTTCTATCAGGGACACCAGCCTGAGCCCTTGATCACCTGCCAGGGGTTACAGCATAGGAGTGAAACAGACAGAAAGACAGAAATAGTGATACAAGGTGAGGAACCAGGATGGTCAAAGTCTGAAGAGGACAAAAATCAAGAGGCTCATTGTCCCTATATTTATTGAAATCACAATATCAGTAATTAGCTAGTGGTAGGAACAGGGGGAAACAAAGGCTGATCTACTGATGCAGGCAGGGCTGGTAAATTAAGGAGCAAAGCTTTCTAGCATAGCTTTTTGGACAGTAGCTCAAAGTTAATAAGTAACCTGCTTAGTTGCTACTAAGGCTGTTGGTCTGAGAAAGAAATTTAGGTGAGAATCACACATGCAGATTCGAGGTGCCAGGGTGTCATTGGTCATTTGCTGGCCTCAGTTCTGGCCAGTGGTGTGTGGGTTTCAACCAAGACACCAAAAGCAGCCTCTCTCTGCCATGTAGGTCTTGGACTTGCTCTCTCACATCGATATTTGCCAATTATAAGTTAATCGCAGCCTCTCCTGTGCAGCCTCAAAGTGGTCTCCCATACTCTTCACTGTCCTGGAAGACCTCAACAACTGCCAGTCCATTGCACTGCCACTGATTCTTCCTGGAGCCTTGTGGAGCCCCAGTGTTCCCTTTGTTCCTGCAGATTCAGTCTCCCTTTCCCAAGAGCCATGAGTTGGAGCCAGGGAAAAAGTCCACACTGTTTCATTCCCTCCTTTAGTTTGTGGTCTCTTTCTTCAAATTCTCTGTAGCCTTTAATTTTCATGTCAGTTCATTTTTAATTCCCTGTGATATACTTCTTTCGCTTTTCTTACCTGAGTTTTTATTTTGCAGTTTCTGGTTTCTGAATCTTGGAGAGATGGAATCATTGCTGTTCATTGTACCACCATTTTCCTTTCTGAAGTCTACTTATGATGATGGCTTACTAGTGCATTTAAGAAACAATGTGTATAGAAAATGTTCTGAGAAATAGGCAAATAGGTTCATCATCAATCATGACAATGCTGCACATCACACATTACTTCTGGTATAATTTCTGTCATTTCAGAAACATTACTGTGACCTCATCCATCTCATACACCAAATCTGATGCCCTGCAACTTCTGGCCCTTCCCTTAAATCAAAATGACTTTGAAAGATTTTAAATTTGAGTGAATTTAAGACATCAGAGAAGTCAGTTCATGACATTGAGATAGCCGTTTCACCGCCACTAAAGACACAAAAGAGGATTTCCACAACTAATGTAGAAACTGGCAAAACTGATGTGATAACATTTTTTGAAGCAAGTGGAGCTATTTTTTAAGTGGATTAATGCCAATATTGCTTTTACTGTTATATGGATATATATTTTTGTAATATATTTTAAAAATTTAAATATTTAGTACATTTTTAATCATATACCACATAGGGTTTATGTGAAAAACTCTAAAAGAAGTGATCACTATGTGTTAATAATAAAGATGTCAGTTCACCGAGGTGTGACACGTACACTTAGCATTGGAGTACCTAAATATATAAAGCAAATAGTAATAGATTTGAAGAGAGAGATAGATTATATACAGTAATAAAAACTTTACTGCTGCATTTCATCATTAGTGAGGCCATCTAGAAAAAATATATAAGGAAACAATGAGCTTACACCACATTTTAGTCCATTCAATCAAAGAAATATAGACTGTCATCCAATGTGAATAGAATAGACATATTTCTCCAGTGATTGTGAAACATTTTTGCAGATATATCATATGGTAGCCCTAATATGTGTCATAACAAATTTAAGATTGAAACAATAAATATCACTTCTTGGTCTTTGGGCTAAGATTAAGTGTGAAATAATCAATATCTTTTTTTCACCAGCAAGGGGTGAAACTATAAATCAATTCAGATTGAGCATCCCTTATATGAAAACTCTAAATCCAAAATATCCCAACATTGGAAACATTTTGGGGGCCAACATGATTCCAGATGTGGGAAATTTCCAAATCTGACCTCATGTGAGAGGTAACAGTCAAAATGTAGGCACAGTATAATTCAGGATATGAAGATAAGATATATCTAAAATAAATACATTTTAGTTTTGATTTGGTTACCATACCTAAGACATCTCATTAAAATGTAGAAAAGTAATGTAAATTGTGAACACTTCCTGGAGTACTTTGAATGAGGAATAGTCAACATGTAATTGGGGGAATCTTTGAAGGAGTGTACATATATGGAAATTAAACATTATGCTCATGAATTACCAATGGGTCAAAGAAGAAATTAAAATAGAAATTTAAAATGTCTTCAGACATACAAACTTGAAAGCAGAACTTACCAAAACTTACAGGATGCTGCAAAAGCAGTCCTCAGAGGAAAATATATAACAATAACAACAACAGCAACAACAACAACAACAAAACTCCATGAACAAAATGAAACATCTCAAGTAACCTAATGTTGCACCTCAAGAAACTAGAAAAAGAATAGGGAAAACTCAGAGTTAGCAGGAAGAAGGAAATAACAAAAATCAGAGCAGAATTAAACAAATTTGGAGACTAGAAAAATAATTAAAAAATACCAAGGCTAAAATATCATTTTTATTGTTTTTTTGTTTTGTTTTGTTTTTTGTTTTTTTTTCCGGGACCGGGAATTGAACTCATAACCTTGCGCTTGCCAGGCAGGCACTGTGCCGCTGAGCTAAATCCCCAGCCCCTTAAAGATCATTTTTAAAAAGATAAATAGTTGGGACTTCACTGAAACTAACACAGTGAAAAGAGAAAAGTAAAAGAAAATCAGAAAAATGAGGGAGGATCTAAAATGATCTAATAGGGGCTGGGAATTTAGCTCAGCGGCAAAGCGCCTGCCTGGCATGTGCAAGGTCCTGAGTACGGTTTCTGGTACCAGAAGAAAAACAAACAAACAAAAAAAAAAACAAAGGAAAAGAAACCAAATAAAAAGATCTAATAGAAGGAGAAGTCTCAAATACTCATTAGTAACTAGAGGAAGAAACTTTAGATCTAGAAACCAAAAAGGGGCAACCCATAGACAAACCTAAAAAGGATTGTTGTTGTTTAAAACATTATGTATTGTCATAGCTTTCCTTCCCTTTTCTTTTCTTTTTTTTTTTTTTTTGAGATGCTATGCAGTTCAGCCTGGTCTTGAGCTTACTTTGTAGCCCAGGCTGGTCTTGAATTTGCAATGATCCTCCTGCCTCAGCTTCCCAAGTAATGGGATTATAAGCTTGAGCCACCACACCCAGCTCCCCTTTTCATTTTATAGGTCTCTTATAATTACTTCTGAATTTTTAGCAGCAGTTGTATAATGAAGTGGTGGGAAAGGAGTTCATAAAATTTTCTATATAATTAAGATATATATACTTAGTGAAATACAGTTTTGTCCTTTTATTCTAAAATTCCTTCATGCTATGAGAAGATTTACCTATGTATTTAAAGTATCAGTGTCTTTGACTATAGTGTACCATGATAGACAAAATGGGAATGTTCCTTCCCACAGGCAAACTTGAGATTTAACAGAAGAGTGTTCATAGTGTTTTGTTTTAATGAAATTGAGTCCATAAAATTATGGAATGTGAAAGGGAATTTAGAGTTGTCATACTGTAAAATTGCCATGGTGTGATCATACTATAAGATTGCTGTGGTATGTGTACCTTCTTTTGTCTTAATATTTATGACTTCATTTCTTGAGGTAGGTTTTATTTTTAGATTTTAAAATAATCAATCTCTTATTTTATTTTTTGCAGTGACTATTTCTTCTGCCAGGCAATTAACTGGATGTAGTCGCTTCAGCCATATTTTCCCTTCATCTGCTTACCAGCATATTAAGATGCATAAGAGAATTCTGGGGCACTTGTCTTCTGTCTACTGTGTAGCATTTGACCGAAGTGGAAGAAGAATTTTTACAGTGAGTTTAAAAGTTATGATATGGTAACATTGCAGATTTATAACAATTGAAGTTAGACTTCATGACACTGCATTATGCTTTGTAGGCAGTTCATCCTTTTGGGACATAGGAATAAATAAAAAAATGAGTAGAAGTTGAAAACCTAATATAGGTGAAGGGGGAACTATCATGTTCACTACCTTTGGGAAATTTAATTTAAAAATTAAACTTTTGAAAGTCTTTATATTCCAGACATAGTTAATTTATGTGAAATAAGTATAGTCAGTTTCATTTTATCTCATTTTAACAAACATTTATTCAAATTAATTTGTGTTAAGTGCACTTTCTATGTGTCACCTACTGTAACTGCTGCCAATTTTGCATAATTAATGATTATGTCACCCTTATGATTGAATAGTTGAATTATACATTAATGAAGAGCATACTTACATTTTGTCTGTTTTTTAATTTTGGTATTTTTTTTTAATTTTAAAGATAAAAGAATGAAAACATAATAACAAACACACATACATTTACAAAATAACACAAAACAATACAAGTAATACTGAATTTCAGACAAGGTGATAAGAAATTAACAATGGTTGTTGTATTCCATATAACTATTTTACCTATTGTCTTTGAAGAGAAAATTGTGGTACACTAATATTTCTAAGAAATATTAATCTTGTTGCTTTACTACTAAGTTAACAGAGATCGGGCTATTAGTGTAACTTACTTTTTCTGTTTATATGGTACAACAAAGAAGTTTTGCTTTCAGAAGTTATGACTCCTTAGGTTTATTACAGACTATTCCATTGATGACTTCATATTTCTTACTGCACACTTATTTGAACATTCATGATCATGACGAGGATGTTGAATGTTATTTTAAAGAAATATTTTTATTTACCACATTACAGTAGAATTGCTTTTTATTAACTTTAAATTCATTTGAAATTCCCAATACATATATCAAGATAATGCTTTCTCCCGATATTATTAATAGGCCCAGGTTTCCTAAATTTGGGTGTATTTTTAGAAGAAATATATTCCAGCATTTAAGAACAGTAACTGTCACACCCTAAGGAAAGAAATAATGGCAAAAATGCTTAATGCCATATCACATAAAAGCATATTCGAAATAGTTTGAGTTTTCAGGATTAGAAGTAGTTTTAAGGAGCTTTTCACATATCTCATTGTTAGGTTGTACAATACCTAGTCATGCCTGTCATCTCCACATAATTTATATTTGCTGCTGAATCTATGTTATATATGGAAAGGAAACTAAAAAGCAAAGGCTAAGATATAATTTAATCAAATTCTCCTTTTTGCCTTTTTAAGGGGGTGGTATGGCAGATTTCTGTATCATTATAACTCTTACATCCCTTTGTGTTACTATAGGGTTCAGATGATTGTTTGGTGAAAATTTGGGCCACAGATGATGGGCGCCTACTTGCTACACTTCGAGGGCACTCTGCTGAAATTTCTGACATGGCTGTTAACTATGAAAATACACTCATTGCTGCAGGCAGCTGTGATAAAGTTGTAAGAGTATGGTGTCTTCGAACTTGTGCACCAGTTGCTGTCCTTCAGGGACATTCAGCTTCTATTACTTCCATACAGGTAAGAAAAATGATATCATGAATATATGTAGTCAAAGTGAGAATTCTCTCATTATTTTTATATTTTATGGATAAAAGCACATAGAATGACAACAGAGAAATGCTCTTAGGAGCTTTGCCCTTATCCTACAGACATCATTTTTGTTTCTTGTCTTTTATTTTGAGACAGGGTTTCACTATGCAGTTGAGGCTGGCACTGAACTCATTTTGTAGACCAGGCTGGCCTCAAACTTGCAGTGATTCTCCTGTCTCAGGCTTCCAAGTTTTGGGATTACAGGAGTGCGCCACCACACTTGGCTTGCAGACATCTACTTTTTAAAATTTCATTTTGTTTTAAAAAATATTTATTAGTACTTATTTGTAGTACATAACAATTACATTTATTGTAGGGAATTATTAGATGCATGTAACACATCTCAGTTCTTTTTTCCCTATCCTCTCTAGCCCATGCTTTTTTTTTTTTGTCAGCATCAGATTCCTTTTTTTGCGGGGGGAGGATTGTTTGGGTTTTTTTGTTTGTTTGTCTTTTGTTTTTTGAGACAGAGTTTCACTATGCAGTTCAGGCTGCCTTGGCTGTAGCCCAGGCTAGTTTTGAACTCACAGTGATCCTCCTACCTCAGCCTCCCAAGTGCTGAGATTATAGGCGTGTGCCACCACGCCCAGCTTCTTTATTTATCTTTTAAATCTTTGTTTTATAAAGTTAATTATTATACCTACATAACAACAACCAGACTAACAGGGAAAAATATATAATACATATGAGATAATTATACTAAGTCAAGGTACAATTTCAGATACATTGTCCACGCTGGATTACAATAGTTTTTTCTTTTTGCGTATTATCTGCCTTTTACTTTGTACTTTAATTATATACTGAGTTTGTCATATTAGAGAAACTGTGATATTTAAGCTTGTGTGTCTAATTTACTTCATTTAGCATGTTTTCAAAGTGTATCGAGTTTGCTACAAATGACTCAAGTTTATCCTTTATGGCATAGTGGTCCTCCATTGTGTATTAATACCACATTTTCTTTAATCATTGATCCGTTGATGGACGTATAGGCAGTTTCCAGTATTTAGCGCTTATGAATTTTGCTGTCATAAACATGGATATGCATCATCCCTGCGGTATGATGTCTTTACATCTTTTCACATGATACCAAGAAGGGGAATAGCTGAGTCAAATGGAATTTCCATTTTTATTTTTGTTAGGAATCTCCATAGTAATTCCATAGTGAATATAGCAGTTTACCTTCCCATCCACGATGAAGAAGCATTCCTTTCTCCCCACAGCCTCACCCGTATTTGTTATTGGTTGGCTTTTTGATGATAGCCATTTTTTCTGGAGTGAGATGGAATCTCACTGACTTTTTCTGGTATTTGTTGTTTGTTTGTTTTCTGGTGCTAGGGATTGAACTGTGACCTTGCACATATGAGGCAAGTTCTGTGCCACTAGGCCACATTCCAGCCCTCCTCAGTGTTGTTTTAATTAGCATTTTTTGAATGTTAAATATTTTTCTCATATATTTATTGGCTCATTGTACTTCTTTATCTGAGAAGCATCTATTCATTTCACATGCCTTTTTAAAAAATCTTTGTGTGGTAGAGTCTCTCTATGCACTTCAGGCTGGACTTTAGCTCACTTTGTAGCCCAGGCTGGTCTCGAATTTGCAGTGATCCTCATGCCTCAGCCTCCCAGAATGCTGGGTTTACAAGCACGCGTCACCACACCCAGCTGACAGAATGGTTTTAATCGTTCTGTATGTTGTCTCCACTCTAATGGTAGGCTCTTTTGCTGAGCAGTTTTTTTTTTTTAACAGTTTGATGTGGTCCAATTTGTCGACTCTTGGCATTATTTCAGATATTTTACCTATAGTGTCTTCTAGCAGATTATTTGTTTTCTAATGTTTAGTTCTTTGATCTATTTTGAGTTCAGTTTAATGCATGGTGAGAGATATAGGTATAACTTCTATCTTCAGCATGTGTATAGCCAGTTTCCCTAGCACCAGTTGTTAAAAAAGTTAGTGAAAGAATTTGACCCCTTTGTCAACAATAAGGTAGCTGAATGTGCCTGCAGTTGTTTCTGTATCCTTTGTTCTGTTCAATTGATCATTTTGTTGTAGTTGTTAGTTTTTGGATTTTATTGCTAGTACCATGCTGGTTTTTTTTTTTTTTTTTTTTTTTTTTTTGAGACAGGGTCTCACTATGCAGTTCAGGCTGGCCTTGAGCACACTTTGTAGCCCAGGCTGGTCTCGAACTCCCAACGATCCTCCTGCCTCAGCCTCTCCAGTGCTGGGATTACAGGCCTGCGCCACCACACCTGGCAACCATGCTGTTTTTATCACTGTGGCTTTTTAATGTGATTTGAAGTCCAGGATTTTGGTGACCCCTGCCTTGCCGTTGTTGCCCAGAATTGCTTTTGTTATTCTATGTCTCTTCTGGTTCATATGAATTTTAGGATTGCTTTCTGTAGTTTGTGAGGAAGTTTTCTCTAGTTTCTCTAGTTTGTGATTGGGATTGCATACCCTTGGGGTATCCTGGCAATTTTGTGTTAAAGGAGCACACTGAAGGGTGTACAAAATCCCATGTCTATTCTGTAGAAGTATTTCTATTGATGAATTACTGATTTTTATTTTATAAGTTTTATTATACTAAATAGTGAGTACTGAAAAGGAAAAAACCTAATAAAATATTGAATTTTTAGTGCTTATTGTGTGTTTATCAAAAGCATCAACTGTTTTAGGTTTACAAAGTCTAAAATATAACAACAGAAATTCCTATATGAACTACAATGCAAATACCAATAGAACTCTACAACAAAAACAATCTTTGCTTCACTTTGTCACACCCAAGGCAGTCTTCAGACATAACAACTGCACAGTCTACATGCACTTAATTTTCCAGTCTTTTTTTGTAGGATATACTTGACATCTCATTGGTCTTGCTGTTTTGTGAGGAGCTTCTTAGTATATTGTACAACAAGCACTTAACAGGAAACTAAGATATCAATAAAATATCAGCTATGTAATGAGTGCTCAGAATAGACATTAACATCATCAGCTGTGTACTTGTTTACAAAACCTAAAATACAACATCAGAAATAAATTCTTACATGAAGAATAATGAAAATACCAAAAATAATCTTTGCTTTAGTTGTCTCACCTAAGACATTCTTCACACGTGACAGCTGCACCTTCCATACACACATCTCGCGTACATTGACAGTATAAGTGTTTAGCTTCCTGTGTTTTTTGTAGGATATAACTTGATATCTTGCTGGTCTTACTGTTTTAGCAGGAGCTTCTTACTATATTATACAATGTGCACTTAGCAGGAAAATGTAATATAAATAAAATATCAAATATGTAACATGTTTAGAATAGGCATCAATTTTTTTATATTGTTTACTTGCTTAGAAAATCTAAAAGATAACATCAGAAATAAATACCTATGTGAATTACAATGTAAATATAAAGAAAAGCCTACCACAGAAATAATCTTTGTTTCAATTGTCAAACTCAAGGCAGTCATCATACAGGAAAATTGCATGTTCTATGCACTAGTATCATTTACACTGATAGCACTTGTTTTGTTTCTTTGTCCTTTTTTTTTATATACCGGGAATCAAACTCAGTACTTTGTGCTTCTTAAGCAGGTGCTGTGCTACTGAGCTATATCCCCAGCTATATCCCCCTCCTTGTCCTTTTTTGTAGGCCACAGCTGACATCTTTTTGGTTTTCCTGTTGTTTTAGTAGGTCTTTGTGATGTTGCTCCTCCTCTTCACCTGTGAGCTTACCAGTGTTCTCCACAATTTTTTTGCATAGTTCCTTGGACAGAAA